AAGATGAGAACTGGCGACTTGGTAGTACAACTTTAGTACGCGGAGTATCTGGGGAGTGGGAAGATGAGAACTGGTGACTTGGTAGTACAACATTAGTACGCGGAGTATCCGGGGAGCTGGAAGATGAGAACTGGCGACTTGGCAGTACAACTTGAGTACGCGGAGTATCTGGGGAGCTGGAAGAAGAGAACTGGCGACTTGGTAGTAGAACTTTAGTACACGGAGCAATCTGTGGAGCTGGAAGATGAGAACTGGCGACTTTGTCGTACAACTTTACTACGCGGAGGCGACTTCCGAGAGGTGAAGAACTTGCAGAAGACAGGTGTTCCTGCGCTTCAGAAAGACATACAGAGAGAGACACATACACACACAGACATAGATACACACACACAGAGACCCACACACTGCCTCAACACACTCGACTTAACACTTCACACTGAACACTTATAACACACTTAACAGATAACTCGCACTCTGACTTCCTACGTGATGAAAAATGCTTTCGGGCCACTCGTCGTCTAGTTTGTTATTTGTCATTGTTATTGCTACCTTTTTTCTAGATCATCGTGAAATAAGGTGGCGCCGTGTGGTGAAATCTGGAGACTTGTGTGACAACTGGGACTTGGACTCATCCTGCATCTCCTTCTGCTTCCATGTATCCCAACCTGTTGGGTTGGATGAGAGAAGCAACCCAAACCCACCGGATTTGTAAAAATGCAGCTGCCTGGATCTGCTCCTGGCAATTGACCCGGCGTGGTTGCCTTGAAGAGGCAAAACATGAGAGACATGCTTTATGCTTTCACGCTTGCAGGAGCTTGCAATAGCCTCTCGCCCTTGGAAAGAAAGAAGCTGTGGGTGGCACCCTGCAAAGCGTGGGCAGGTTCGTGTGAATCACGGCCTTGGCAGTGCCAATTCATCCCGACTCCGCATCGGTATTCGTCTGAAGCAGTGGGCAAGCAGTAAGCATATTATGAAGCCTGTGTGTGATACTCCTGTGATGCAAGGGAACATGCGAACACACCCAAATCCACCCCACATCCGTACAAGTTCTCAATCTGCTTTCCTGGGATCCGGGCTGTCCCTTCTGCCTTGTCATCCCGCATAGCTGCCAGCTGGTTCGAGGTGGGCCCCAGTCCCCTTAGCCAACATGATCCTTGAACAAGCACTTTGCTCCGGGAGCGCGGAGCATGTCTTGGCTTTCACCCACTCAGCACCGTCGAAACTGATTCTGCTGCGGCGATTGCCTTTCGTTTTATTTCAGATAGGAAACAGCCTAAAAGATACACCTTTTTCTTGAGCCATATACCACGGTTGGCAGCACCGAAGAGGCAGAAGTGCAGCCGCTGTAGACCTCAGGACGGGCTGCAATGCTATGTACAATATGCAAGATCTACGAATGCGTGGTTGTAGTGGAGAAAGTTGCAGGTGAGGTTCGGCTCTTTTTGCGCTCGTAGCGGGATGCTGCAAAAGGCAAAATACACGGCTTAGGTTTCCACCTAGCATCACGGGAGCATTACCACTCCAAACAAGATGCCATAGGTGACTTGTACCGTGAATTACTATTGACACAATGAATGCACTAGGCATGCCAGCCAAAATGGACACGGCAAACCTTCCGGTTCGCAACGCTGTTGAAACAGTTAGCCCAAAAGATGAAAGACGGCTAACGTTCCCGTTAGCGTAACGAACCTGAAACTCCAATACTTCACATACCAACGTGAGAAAGAAAGCATTCCGGCTAACGTTCCCGTTAGCATGGAAGATACACACATTAGTGGCCAAAAGGATCTACGGGTCCCACTCCCAGTACCATCCCCGGGAGGCAGTCCATTTCCACGAAAAGCTCCAAGATCCGGACCACTCTCGCTCGCCATAGTAAACCCGCTCCTGGGCAGGCTTACCCTTGCCCTTCTCCTTGCCCTTTTCTTTGTCATGCCCTTTGTATGGCTCGGACTTATACTGCCCCTTCTGCGGCTCATACTTGCCCTTGCCCTTCGGCTGACTCTCGCTCTTGCCCTTGCCTTTGGCCTTGGCTGCGCCCTTCATTGCAATGTCCTGGGCAATGGCGCGCTCCGGCGGCCCGACCACAGCATCAGAAGACAGAGCTTCCGGCTGCACCCTTTCCCTCCGAGGGCTTTGACACCACTCGCCACTGGTGTGCGGATGGCGCCCATGGGCGCGGGCGATCAGATTTGCCCTTGCCCTTCCCCTTGCGGGACTGGGTCCGCTGCTGGAGGCGTTGCTCGTGATAGGTGGGGCAATCGATCTTATAGTGCGGCCCCCCGCGCACGAAGCACCCAGAGGCTGGAGCTTTTCCTTTGCCTTTGCCCTTCTTGGCTTTATGCTCGGCTTGGTCAACGGGAAAGAACCCAGATCGCAGATTCTGGTTCGCCGTCGACTTGCGAGACACCGCACTGACCTTCTTGTGCGTCCCCTCGATCACCTTCAAGCTGTGCCCATACTCATTTGCAGCATCAGGCCAGAACAATTGGACCCTTGAATCTCTCCCCAAAACGGAGTTCCCATGGTGACTTGTCTTCATCATCAAATTGGGCAATGTTGTTGCTCACACACCAGTGCCTAGCGGCGTGGGGCCAGTATTGGTGATGCAGTCCAGACTGCAACAAACTAACCCTGGTACCCTCAACGATCGATCGAATCGTTCGCTCGGCAACGGCATTGCTCTGGGATATATAATCCTTCGAAGTGACATGTCGCCATTGAAGTGTGCGTGCGGCACTGATAAGTTCTGGGGCATTGTCAGAGTAAAAGATCTTCACAATTGCTTCGTCAAGGACAAAATGTTTGAAGGAGTTGATGGTCGATTCCGCATCTTTCCGTGCAGAGGGGTAAACGTACGTGAACCCCGAATACACATCTTTCAGTACAAGACCTATACCTTCGTCCTCGTCACCAGCTTCCTCACCTTTGGCGGTGATAAGGAAGTCCCCAGTGACATGATCACCAAAAGCTTCAGCCTCGATCTGACGGGAGCCGCCCCTTGCTCTTGAGGGATATTTGATCATTTTCGCCTTACGACAAACATCACAAAACTCATTCTTGGGTACGTGAGTCATCAGATGGGCGATTGAGTTTGCTTCCCTTTTCAGCAAGGCTTCCAGACGCCCACGTTCTGCCACCAAGGGTCCTGGTACCTGATCGTCCAGGGCATCATCACTAGGGTTAGAATCACCCGTTGGCGGCTCGACCTTCCGGTCAGCGGCACTGGGCGGCTCAGCCTTCCGGCTGGCTTCTTCTTCGTCTCTCCTACTCACATCATCGTCCCCCCCCCACATCATCTGAGCCCTTTGCGACTTCGGCAGGTAGGGCCAGCGGAGTGTAAGTAGACGAGGATGTAGAAGATGGACTTTCCGATGAAGAAGAAGCTTCAGCACTGATCCCAGCGTCGACGATCGGACGAGAACGCGACTTGCAAGGCATGGCTTTCTTGACCTTGGATGGGACGTACGGCGCATAGTCTCGTACAGTTAACTTAATTCGAACACCATCGGGCTTTTGAAAATATGGTTCCCTGCCGGCTCTCCAGACAAAGTCATAACCTTCGTCCATGCACTTGACACCGACGGACATCACAGGTGGGGTGGACTCGAGCAAAAATGGCGTGAAGTTGCATCCTAATGTCTCGTTCCTAACCTTTCCCTGCAGGTATGACGAACTCTCTCCATTGGCAGTGATGATGGAGATCGGTTGATCGGAGAAAAACTGATATCGGTCCGGAATGTCGTACTTGGTTGCAAGGTCCTGTGCGCTTCCGGTATCTGCAATCCAGTCCTCACCTGAAAGGAGATAGTGCTCCACCTGCTGCTCAGAGGCTGCAGGTGTGGCATACAGTGTCTTTGGGATGCAATGATCACAACCTATGGTGGACTTGCACATGTAACGACACTTGGCATCAAATCCTTGCAACTCATTCTGTACTGCTCCGGCAAGCATCTTGGCCGACAGGAGTGAATCTTCGATGGCCGATGGGTTTGGACTCATAGCGAATTCGATGGGATAGAACTTTGATGGACTCTTCCTCTCCACCTCATATGGGAAAAGACTTCCGGATGTGTGATATTCGGTGACGGTCGGCTTAGACTTGAATTTCACCCTGATCTTGGCTGGACAAGCGATGCTCGGCCAACCGTTCCCGGTGGCAAGTCCTTCAACGGACGATGCAAGCATGGACGCAACCAGACAAACTGCGGCAGGCGTAACCCTGGGGGATGAACGGTTTGAACCTCCGGAACCCTTGGATCCCTTCGACTTCCGAGAACCATCGGACCCGGATCGGCGACCGCTCTTGTCCCGCTTGCCCCTCTTGTCCTTCTTCCGCTTATCCTTCTTATCGCTTCCGCGGGAACTGCGGGATCCTGATCTGGCAGGAGTGGCCTTGCGGGGCTTCTGCTTGCCTGCATGGGAGAATTCACAATCACTTCCCCGTTTGCAACGTCCGGCTTTCCAATACTTACATGTGATCTTGGACTTGTCTTTGCCCTCACGGCTGGTGGAGCGACCTCTACTTGGTTTTCGAGTTTTCTTTGGAGGAGTCTCATGCTTGTACGTGCAGTTCTCTTTGGTGCAACTGCCTTTGTTCCATGCGACACAATACCCCTTTGGGGTGAACGGAGTTTTCTTCCGATCGTCGTCGACTGCTGGAGTGGACGGTTTCGGACCTCCAAGGCTGTTGTGGATCCGATCTCGGTTCGACTCGAGCCTTTCCCTCCGGAGATATCTCTGTACAGCATCAACAAGGTATTTGTAGGAATGATTGTCAGTTCCTTCCTCAGCACGATTATAGATTTCAATATCATGTTGTATGGCCCGTACATTCTTGACTTGTTCATAGAACAGGGTTTCCAAAACTGATGGATCCGGCGGGTGAGTGATGCCGGCATTCACAGTATCCCAGTTCGAAATGAAGGTTCTAAGATTTTCACCCTTGAGCTTCACAGCGAACAAATCCTTCAATGAGTACGTGGCTCCATGCTTGATATTAGTGCTGAAGAAATCATCCATCATCAAAAGAACTTGGCGTCCTCTCACAGGGCGGTCGGCAGCTGATTCTTTCTCTTTGAAGGTATTGACCTTTCTAGCAAACTCACCTGAACAGATGTTGGACAGTGCTGACAACAATTTTGCATCAAGGGTCGTGAAGCCCTCCGGGTCAACCAAATCCGCAGTCACTGTCCCTTCCTTCCACACCTTGTTAATCCACACGAAAGCTTTGTCAGGCGTCTTCGATGCGGCACGGACGGCATCTCGGACTTTGATCTTCCAGTCTCTGTAGCTTTCGGGGTATGGAAATGGAGGGACCTTAATATGGTCTGCTTCCTTGGCATTGTTCTCGGAGCTTTTCTTTTTCCCCTTGAGGAGTTGCTTGAGGGCATTCAACAAATCACGGCCCGAGAGATTTCCCTCATCGTGATCATCGTCATCGTCGTCGTCATCATCATCCCCATCCCCCGTCGTCATCGTCCCCAGGCTCGTCAGGCGGGCCTCCTCCACTAACATTTGCTTTCTTCGGACTCGGCCGAAGGTTCCCCTTGGCTTCATCTCCCTTTGGAGGACCGCTACCACCTTCTGGCTGAGGTGGTGGGGGATCACCTCCAGGTGCTCCATTTGGAGCATTACCGGTCTGATCACTGGTTCCCAGTGGCAATGGTGGAATCATACCTTCGCCTCATGGAGTTCAATGGTGAACCAAATAGGGATTCCTCAGTAGGTTCATTCCTCGGAATCGGAGTGCCCTTTGGTTCTTGTTTGATGGTTTGCCTAAGCGTAGCTGGGTTGGGGATGGATGGAGAGTAATCTCGGGTCTGAAGTTCATCGTTGCCCCCCGCAGGAATCATTGGGAGACCCCTTGGACCCAAAACGGCTGGACCTTCCGGTGCGCGAACGGCGGACCAAGAACCGAACAGATCGTTCTGGAGTCTGGCGTCTCGAAGAGCACTCAGTTGGCTTTGGAGATCAGTTTGTTTCTTCATGGATTCTCTCAATTCCAGTTGAAGACTCTCCGTTTGCCGGTTCTGACGCTCAACATGATTATTCAATGAATCAATTGTTGCCATGCACTTCTCAATGGCATGACCGCTACGAATACGTGCATCTAACATCTGACTTTCATGGTGTTGTTTGACGGACCTCAACTCGGCCGCGGAAGCCTCAGCATAAGCCTCATAACCTCTCTGGGCAGCTTCAACAAATGCGGTTGCTTCCTGTTTGACGACCGTGTTTTCATGGAACATTTGCTCAGCTTCATTCATAAACCTTAACCCCTGTATACGCATCTCGTCGCGCTGGGTGCTCACAATGTTGAGCTGTTCACCTTGAATTTCCATGGCATGCCGATGTCTTTCTTCGGCCACGGCCTCGATCAACCTTGCAAGTGAACATGCAAGCGCTGATTCAACACATTTGTCTTACTCATGTGAATCGGCACAGCGTTCCCGCTGGCACTCATGGAGGGAGGGTCATATCGGGCAATGTCAGGCCCTAATGGCGTGTCCAAGAACCCAAACCCTTCCGGCACAAGCGCCGTGGAACTTGCAACCTCAGGCGTTGCATCACGTGCGGACATATTGTCCAGATCCGACGACAAATCAATGATCGACGGATAACCTTGTCCTGCCATGGCTAGGAGCACGTGGTACGAGCGAGAAGACTTGGTGAGACCTACGGCTGATAACCTATTTCAGATAGGAAACAGCCTAAAAGATACACCTTTTTCTTGAGCCATATACCACGGTTGTAGTCATGCCATATGTACACTTTGGTGAAAAATACGTTTTAATTTAGGAAGTGAACACAGGTGGTGGGGGATGAAGACCGGAAGTAGGTAAGAAGAGCTACTGAGCTTAGAAGCTACTAGTATAGAGCAAAGCTTCTCAAGGAACTTTTCTCACCTGAGGGCACAAACAACTTCCCAGGTATACCCCCCCAAACTTTAATTTTGCAGGGCTTCAAGCATGGGCATGCCACAGTAGAAGAGACGCAGGCAATCTTAAATTGGATCTCGAGATTGGAAAAAAAAGGCGCGCTGTTTTGGAATTTAACACTATTCAAGCAATATTTCACAACATAGTCACTATATTTGCTAAAATATAAGAAGGTACGGTATAGTCTATAACTTAAGGCCGAGGGACGAAAGCTAGCAGGGCAGGGGTGAAGCGGGGGAGGGCCCCGTACATATGAAGTTTTCACCCGATGCGGCGCTCTCAAGGATTCCAGCCCCTCACTTGCTAAAGCAAGAACAACTCCAGCTAGCTGGTGCTAGCTTTTCGTGATGTGGCAATATTCCTGGCACGTCTGGGGTATGGCTCAGGGGTATAGCACAGCATGTCATGAAAGAGAAGGTCCGTGGAAGAGCCCTTGCTATGAAACGGGTTCCAGGTTTTAAGGAAAGCTGATATGCAATATGAAAGGCCTGTTGTGCCTCTTCGGCACAGCTGACCTCAGCTCTGCACGGGCTGGCAGTGTCCACATGAGCTTTGGTGAAGCGCGGAGGTTCCATGCAGGTAGCATCCATCTCCTCAATCTGACGCAAGGCTCCAAGGGAAGCTCTCCACTACAGTCTTGATCAGTCTTTCTCTACATACCACTTTGGCTATTTGACGGCCAATATCGGATATGGCATCTCTACACATCTCCTTCATCACACGGCGCTCGATGAGGGCTCCGGTCACACTCCCAACAACGGAGCCCACAGCCACACCAATTGCCTTGAGACTCGTTTGGAAAGCCAAATAGAACTAGTTTCAATTCAAGGGCTTCAACACATGGACAACCCAAATGTTTACTTCTTTTTGCATGCGTTGGGCATTTGCATTGACTCCTGTAATTGATCGATACTGCAAAACCCATCGTTTTTTGTGCGGCTCTGCTCGGGTCTTCACCTATCTTGGTTGCGGTCTGACAGCCAGGATAAGGCGCCCGACCCAGTGGAAGAGGAGGCCACAGCTGAGGGCAGCCTTGGTCAAATCATGAAAACCTAGTTATTCATTATTTTGCAATTACAGTTGTCGACTCAAAAACATGCAGTTGTTCAGCTACGTACAAATGTTCTGTTTATATATGTAGCCTTAGCTTACGGTGTTTCACTCCAGGTATGAGTCAATGAGGCCTCTTCAAGCAGCCATGACATGTCAATCTTGCCAATCATGAACCCAGATTCCGCCCTAGCCGGGAGTTGTGATGGATTGCTTGGTGACTGCACAAAGGCCCAGTATATAACCTTGGCCACTGACCAAAGTCCCAGCACCCACACTCCATTTGCCTTAGTACAGGATATCGTGTTGTTTTATGGAGAAAGTCGGAGCTCCAAACATTGAGCTATATAAGGACAACTCAAGAAGTGTGAACTTTGGCAATACCAGGCCGGACATACAGTTTGCAAGGTTTCTTTGAGTTTCGTATTGAGTTTCGTGAAGCTCTTCAATCAATCTATCTATCTATCCATCCATCCATCAATCTTGCAATGCGCGTTCCTTCATCCCATTGAGAAACTCTTGAATTCCTTTCACGCCCCGCCAAGCCTGAGGAATGTCCAAATTTGCCCGTACGGTTGTTAAAGTGGACACGTTCCATTCGTCTTGGGTAAGTGTCTTCCACTTGCCGCTAAGCTCAGAGCCTGCTGGCCTCTCCAACATCTTGTCTGTGGCTAGGCCGTAGGCCATGCCTGTTCAGCTCCCCGAATTGTTGAGTGAAGTCCGGTGCACAGTTGATGTCCCTTAGATCTTCAACTACCAAAAAATTCAACTAGTACAAAATGGAAGGAATCTTTTATTGCACTGGCAGCAAGGTCTCCAAAGCGCCTACCACGTAGGCGATGGCCACCGAGAGTAGCAAGCATAGTTCCGTGTTGAGGTTCCCAGTCAAGAGCTGGCGAAAACGTTGTCAACTTCAGCACCGGCGGTCGACACACAGCAAACTCCATGGCAGCGCACATCATTTGACAGGAGGCCAGCGTAGACTCCCGCAATGACTCCAAAAGGCCCCGACCTTCACTCAAATGTCATGCTCAGCCAGTCAGCTTTCTCCTTGTTTTTTCTCTTTATTCATGAAGATCGCACATTGCACCAGAAGCCATTGAGGGGTCGGCATAATTCGGCAGGTCGCCAGCAAGGGGTACAACTTGGACGACCGCGCGTGACAATCAAGAAAAGAAGGCAGTCAAGGGTGCCGGTGCTGGTCCCTTTTCAATTGGCAAGGAAACACACCTCTCAATTCTCAACTTCTCTTTGGCTCTCATTGAGGTCCTCGCGCTGCTTTCGCCCGGAGAACCTCACGCACACCAAGACTGAAGGTAATGGATCATTCGTCTCTGCATCCAAGCGCATTGTCTGCGCGCATGATCTGTGCGCATCGTCTGTGTACATCGTCCGTTCAGAACCTAGCCGTCGTGATTTGCGGGCGTCTTTCGGAAGGCCAGATTCGTGCCAGGTACCAAAACCACAGCCTCAAAAACGGCTCGTTACACGTGTCAACTAGACTCTTTCTGCATAGCCTCTATAGCTTTGACACAGAATCAGATCTGCAAAAACAAGCCCTTCACAAGCATGGCCATTGCCAGGTAGAAAGTTGTGGTGGTCAGGCGACTGGTAAAGACCCTCCAAGCAAGCCAGTGTCAAGGCATCTAAAGAAAACACCAAAGCCAAAAAGAATTGAACACCAAGCCTGGCTGCACCAACACTTTCCACACCAGCCACAAAGACCTGTTTTCACCACCGGTCTGTGATCGGAAACATGAATGTCACTATAGGGCTCCACTGGAGTCACTCAAGGTAATGGTAATGACTCAAGTTTTGAGCTTAAGTCCCTTGGAGGACATCACTTGTAGGTTGGAGGCCATCGCTCTTAGGTTGGAGGCCATCTCTTGT